TTTGAAGAAAGAAGAAGCCTTTAACCATTTGCATCTTTCGGGAAAGGAAAGGGGTGGGGGAATGTGAGGCCTCTGATGCATCAGCAATCGGGTATTGGCTTCCCATACAGGGTCCAGTAACAAAGGCGCAGATTTCAATGAAATAGGTGTGTTCATCATGTTATAGGTCCTTTGCAGAACGTCGCTCCCATTACAGTCTTCCTGAAAGAAACTCGGTCTGTGGCCAGCTTTCTACTCTAGTGTACTTCATATCCAAAGAGTCACAGTATGTACCCATCTTCGTACTGGTCGGCCCCTGCCTCTCCTTCCTGATGCCATGCCTTCTTCTCTTATATTCTCCTATCCACCCTGGGACATAATATGGCCAGAATATTTCAGCTTTCCCGACAAGATGCATTATATTAGCCGATCTTCCTTGATGTTAAGATCTTTCTGAATTCTATCATTTCTTTCCTTTTTTGTCCATTGCGTTCTGAGAATCTTTTTATAAAATGTCAGCTTAATGCACTTTTTTTCTTCCAAAAGGACCGGGAGGTAGCGATGACTCGCATTCGTATATTGCTACTGGGAAGATGCTACTCTAAAAATCACGTTGGCTTCGTCACACAATTATTCCCGCCACACTGTAAATCTGTCCGCACAAATCAGTTACTTTTGCTAGGAGCGCTAGCTAGGTTTTTCAAACCAGCTGCACGACGACCGGATGTTAAACTCTTTTTGATCGAAGTACACGCTCGGGGGTAGACAGGAAAGCCACACATTGTCCAGATTTACGGTATCTATCATGGAATCACAGTCCAGAAAGAAATGGCAAACTACTGGACGTAAATTTGCCTAAAAAAAACACACAACAGCCAGGATACGCAACTAACCATCATGGAATCAAGGCTGACGGCTTGCGATATTCATTGCACCGAGCTAAAGCGTTGTTTATAACTCATTGTTTCTGGATCCCCCCCCCCACCCCTTTTTAATTAAAATATATGTTACTTTTTATAAAACAGTCAACGTTCGTAGCTTAAGCGTTGCGAACGCGCTTTGTAATGTCAAGGTACTGGGTTCGATCCAAGCTGCAGACGTTTTGCGTTGGTTTCGACAGTGGTACCGAAAGCGTTGAGCTAGCAACGAGACACAAGTTTAAGTTAGCTGCGTATCCGTTACAGGACGTTGCAGAACAGACCTAGCATTTTTTTGGCTGTTGTGTTTTTTCTATGTAAATCTACGTCTAGTAGTTTACCGTTTCTTTCTGGGCTTTCGGCTTGTCGATACTACTGTCGAAACCACCGCAAGGCCGAAGGCCCGCAGCTGGAATCGAACCCGGCACCCGGGCATTACGAAGCGCGTAATGAAACACAACTGAGCGTAAAATTTGCTTTAATAACTACAACATGCCGCAATAGGTTCTGAAACGTCCTGTATTAGATACGGAACTTAATCAAAGAGTTTATGCTTTCTTATCTATCTAATTCATATACACAGCAGACCGAGTTGCTTTGCAACACTTGGTAGTAAACTATTGCATGACAAGATAGATGCTGTCAAGGCCCTTTAAGATAATGGTGGGTGGAGTGTACAGTTCAGATGCACAATCAGATTATCATTGTTCAAAGAGATTAGTGTAGCGGGGAGTTACCAAGGGATCTGGCCGACACACAACACGCATGGAAATGGCAAGTCGGACATACAATTAGACAGTTACTATTAGCTTTGGAGCTCTGCGCTGACTGCTAAATATTAGGATGGAGCGCTTATGGGAATGTCCTGAAAACAAAGATACCGGTTTCTCTCCTTAAGTCACAACAATGTTACATGTGTATTGATGTTTTAGACTGAATTATACTTTCTCCAAAATTGTAAACCTCCAGAGTCACGTCAAATCTGTTCTAACTGAACTCATTTTTGTCAAGGCCACAGAGGTGCCTCATCATTTTATCCAGTAATGTTCTTTTCAGCTTTAAAACAAAGTGGCCAGCTTACCGCTTGCACCGGGACACCTTCTCTGCACACCAATCCCTTGCAGATGGCGCGTACAGCAAAAACACGTCACCAGATATTAAACAAGTTCACTGTAACACATATCATCGCGAGAGACATGCTTCTTTCTCTTTTCTTCTTCTCGCCTTTTGGGTTCTGAGCTTCCGGATTTCACGGACATTTGCTTCTTAGTCCTCTTTTTTTTCCCACTATATTTTCATACCGTTTCACAGGTTTGTCTGTCTATCCGTGCTTTTCAATTTTTTGTCTTTTTGCTTGTTAGACTCTGTTCTTCTATCTATGTACTCTTTTTTACTTCTTAGGTCCTTCTTCTTATGAGAGCTCTGAAAATTTCTGGGCTTTTTCTTTCTTTTCGAATCTTTTATGTTTTCTTTTTAATATAAACTTTTCTTGCTTTTATTTCTATTATTTCTTTCTTTCTTCTTCTTTCTCGCCTCTCACTCACTCTTCTTCCTTCTTCTTCTTTTCTTCTTCTTCTTCTTTTCTTTTCTTCTTTTCTTCTTTCTTTCTTCTTTTCTTCTTTCTTCTCTCTTCTTCTCGTCCTTCTTCTTTTCTTTTCTTCTTCTTCTCTTCTTCTTCTTCTTTCTTCTTACTTCTTTTCTTCTTTCTTCTTCTTCTTTCTCTTCTCTTCTTCTTATCTCTTCTTCTTCTTCTTCTTCTTCTTCTCTTCTCTTCTCTTCGTTCTTCTTCTTTCTTCTTCTTCTTCTTCTTCTTCTTTTCGTCTTCTTCTTCTTTCTTCTTCTTCTTCTTCTCTTCTTCTTCTTCTTTCTTCTTTTCTTCTTCTTCTTCTTCTTCTTCTTCTTCCTTCTTCTTTCTTCTTCTCTCTTCTTCTTCTTCTTCTTCTTCTTCTTCTCTTCTTCTTCTTCTTCTTCTTCTTCTTCTTCTCTTTTCTTCTTCTTCTTCTTCTTCTTCTTCTTCTTCTTCTTCTTCTTCTTTCTTGCTTCTTTCTTCTTCTTCTTCTTCTTCTTCTTTCTTTCTTCTTCTTCTTCTTCTTCTTCTTCTTCTTCTTCTTTTCTTCTTCTTCTTCTTCTTCTTTCTTCTTCTTCTTCTCTTCTTCTTCTTTCTTCTTCTTCTTCTTCTTCTTCTTCTTCTTCTTCTTTCTTCTTCTTCTTCTTCTTCTTCTTCTTTCTTCTTCTTCTTCTTCTTCTTCTTCTTCTTTCTTCTTCTTCTTCTTCTTCTTCTTCTTCTTCTTCTTCTTCTTCTTTCTTCTTCTTCTTCTTCTTTCTTCTTCTTCTTCTTCTTCTTCTTTCTTCTTCTCTTTCTTCTTCTCTTCTTCTTCCTTCTTCTTCCTTCTTCTTCTTCTTCTTCTTCTTCTTTCTTCTTCTTCTTCTTCTTCTTCTCTCTTCTTCTTCTTCTTCTTCTTCTTCTTTTCTTCTTCTCTCCTTCTTCTTTCTTCTTCTTCTTCTCCTTCTTCTTCTTCTTCTTTCTTCTTTCTTCTTCTTCTTCTTTCTTCTTCTTTCTTCTTCCTTCTTCTTCTCTTCTTCTTCTTCTTCTTCTTCTTCTTCTTTCTTCTCTTTCTTCTTCTTCTTCTTCTTCCTTCTTCTTCTCTTCATTCTTCTTCTTCTTCTTCTTCTTCTTCTTCCTCTTCTTCTTCTTCTTCTATCTTCTTCTTCTCTTCGTTTCTTCTTCTTCTTCTTCTTCTTCTTCTTCTTCTTCTCTCTTCTTCTTCTTCTTTTTTTCTTCTTCTTCTTCTTCTTCTTTTCTTCTTCTTCTTCTTCTTCTTCTTCTTCTTCTTTTCTTCTTCTTTCTTCTTCTTTCTTTCTTTCTTCTTCTTCTTCTTCTTCTTCTTCTTTTTTCTTCTTTCTTCTTCTTCTCCTTCTTCTTCTTCTTCTTCTTCTTTCTTTCTTTCTTCTTCTTTCTTCTCTTCTTCTTTTTCTTCTTCTCTTTTTCTTCTTCCTTCTTCTTCTTCTTCTTCTCTTCTTCTGTCTTCTTCTTCTTTCTTCTTCTTCTTCTTCTTCTCTTCTTCTTCTTCTTTCTTCTTCTATCTTCTTCTTTCTTCTTCTTCTTCTTTTCTTCTTCTCTTCTTCTTCTTCTTCTTCTTCTTCTTCTCTCTTCTTCTTCTCCTTCTTCTGCTTTCTTCTTCTTCGTCCTTCATTCTTCTTCTTCTTCTTCTTTCTTCTTCCTTCGTCTCTACTTTTTCTTCTTCTGGCTTCTTATTCTTTCTTCCTTCTTCTTCTTTTTGCTTTTCTTTCCTTCTTCTTTTTATTCTTCTTCTTCTTCTCTTCTTCTTCTTTTCCTCTCTTCTTCTTCTTCTTCTTCTTCTCTGGCTTCTTCTTCTCTTTGGTTCTTTTGTTTTTGCTTTTTCTCCTTCAATCTCACCTCCTCCTCCTTCTCCTAAACACAGTGTTTGGCCATAGAGATCCCTAGAAAAGACAAACTAATGTAAAATATAAATGGCTGAACCAAAAGGCAGGAACAGACACAGGTGGATACGGTCCTGAATGAATTACGTATAAACTTATGAAACAAAAAATATGGGGAGGATTTAGAGCGAGCTGTAGGCGGCGTCAAGAAGTGAAATGGCTCGATGTGAGTTGGTTTAGTGTCTATGCAGCAAGAGTACTTCCCGTCCGGGCGACTGGCCGAGATAGGCAGGGGTCGACCAGCACGATGACTAAAAAAAGAGATAGTACGAACCGTCGTCAGTATCAATGCAAAGCAGTCTGTTAAAACTAAACCGTTTGCAGATGACCACTCGCTGGTAGGGTGAGACAAGGAAACCGCATTCAAAACCCTTAGTTACAGACACAGACACAATTTGCATCGAATACAGTTCAGTTAGGAATCTATATTACAGCACTACGGACATGCCATTAAAAGGGGAGTATAAACATCTATTGCATTAGATACGGTGGACATAATATATTATGGACACCTCGAGTTTAACAGTTTACGATGCGGCACAGTTGGAATGAAACCGAGCGACTTTCCAACGAGTCATAAGGAGAGAGAGAGACGAGACTGTAATGGACTTTTACGTGTTAGTGAGACAAAAATGTGCTTACTTTTTTCCTCGGATCGGCTTCCTTATCTTTCGGCTTGTGTCCAGGTTCAGCATGTGACAACAGTTCTCCTGGCGTGGGCATCTCCTTCAGCCATATTACCCGCACTATTTGCGAATAAGTGTAAATGAGGACAACCAGTGGAACGAAGTACTGAAGAATCATAATGGTCACAGAATAAGAAAACCGCTGCTTATCCGTATCCCATATCTCCATGCATATATACGTATCGTTGTGCCCTTCAGGTATTTCCACCCTCGATGTAGCCGCTGTTGGAATCGGCGTTAAAAAAGCTAGCACCCAGCATAATGTTACAATTTGAAGACAGCGTTTTTTGCCTAAACGTACCATGAACGGATGCATGATAGCGATGTACCTCTCCAGGCTCATGGCCAGCATCGTGTAGGCGTTCTGAAAAACCACTGCTACCTGTAAGTATGTGACAATAGGGCACAGGGCTGCCCCGAAAGGCCAGTAGTTGAAGAGGACGTTGGCGACGAGGCTGAAGGGAATGCAGATAACCGCCATAAGGATATCGCTGATGGCCAAGCTGGCGATGAAGTAGTTGGTGACGTTGCGCATTCTCCTTCTGGAAACTACCACATACACAGCGCATGTGTTCCCTACTACCGCTATTATACATGTGACTGCGTACATTAGGATAATTCCTATTTGGGCGTCTTTAAACGCCTGTTCGAAGTGAAGGTCCTCATCGCTTGAATAAAGAGAAGCGTTGAAACTCATAATGTGTTTTTATTTGTGTAAAGATAATCTCCAGCGTATGCGGCTTACAGGTTATGAAAGCATTTCATAATAACGATATACAGTAGATCTGAACCAGCTGCCGATGATTTAGCATAAGTCTGATTTGCGTTTTCTACAATGGTATAAGCGTCGTACCTTTAGGGCCAATGGGAACTTGCTGAACGTAAATCTGCCTAGTAAAACGAAGTATATCTGATATATAATGAGGCTGGTCTGTAACGTCCTGTAGAGTATGAAAACCTGTTTTGTGTTTGATTGTAATAGCGTAGAAATTTCCACGTTGTGTACGCGAGATTTAAAAGCAATATTTGAACATCTATCGGCTGACAACATATTAATTTCCATCTCTTCAAGCCAGAATAGCCCACAAATTTATGAAAACGTATTAATTTCCACTTGTCATCTCATCATACGAGAAAGATCCTCAAACGGCTGATAAGATAATAATTTCTCCTCAAACCGGAATACTCCTCAAACGGATGCCAACAAATTCAATTACACTTGTCATCTACCCAAACTATAATTTTTTTGGCTGCTTTCCTTGACACAGGGAGAGTTATCGTAGATTCGTAAACCACTGTATCATTTGTTCACACGGTTTTTTAGTGTCATTATATGCACCAATGTTTGCTTGTTTTATGTACTTTTCCACCCATCCTCAGACAAATGTTTTGCCTTTAACACAGTGATTGTAACGTGTTATTGCTGTCTTGAATTATCGTGTTTCTCTTTGCTATGAACATAAATCCAAATAACTGATCTGTAAGTCCTTAATAATGTCAGTTCTATTCATGCGTGTACTATGTTCAGTTTTTTCACTTTTGTGACTTTATTAATTCCATTCGGCAGGTGAGTGTAATAAATCACGTATGGTCAGAAGCTCTTGGAATCCCCTCAACTGCTGAAGATGACGATCACAGGTAGATCCAGTATGTTGTTTAAATCCAGAAATCTGTAAGTAGAAAGACAAGAAGTCAATACAGTTTAAACAACAAATATTTCTAAACACCGTTTTTAAATCGTGGGTGGCACTTGTCGTGTAGCGAACGGTTCAAATACAAACCGAGCCAGACTATTTTTTTTTAGAGCTCAACTTTGCTCCAAGGTTGACCTAGTTTTAAATGTTTGCCAGATAGAGTCCTGGGAAGTAAAAACGGCGGGCGTGATGTTTACCACATCACCCACTAAGTGCCGATTGGTCTACTAAGGATAGATCTATCCCAGTAAGCTCAATACATCTGAGGGCGTCTTGAATGGTCCTTAAAAGGACTTTTATGCACAATACGAATGGAGGCGTGGGAAGGGGTCATAGGTGAGAATTATCACACAGTAAGCTGTGTATAAGCCTATAAAACATATGGTTTAGTCATGGATCCTCACCCGCGGAGGACTACAGGTTACAAAAGGCTGGAAAATCCGTTACGAGGGCTGTAATTATAATGCACTTGCAGGTACAGTATTTTGAATTTGTCGGGACTGGTTTGCTGGCCAAATGAACAGTTTGTTATTTATTGATGGTCAAACTTTCAGATAGTACGCCGGAGGAAATAAAGTGTAAAGAAGAAATGAATGGTTCAGTTCTGCAACGAGTGCAATATGCATCAGACTGACAGATGTAAATATAAGCAGCCTTCAGAGCCAGCTAATATCACATTCCTTACAAAGAGATGCAGACCTAGCTGTCACAGCAGATGTGACCTAATTAAATGTTTGGTCCAATAAAAGCGATCCATAATTTGGTTATTAATTTTAAATGACTCGCAAAGAATCTATTAAAGATCATTATAGCCTTCAAGAGAATAAAAGTCTCCAGCCTTGATGTAAATGGTATTTAAAATATACCAGAAATTGTGCTGTGTCAACAGCTTTTGCCATACAATTCATCCGGTGCAAATAACTCTCCGAATGCGGTTAAATCAATAGCGGCGAAGAACTCGGAGACATGTATGGGCAAACACAGGTATCAACAGGTAAAATACAAAGAAAGAGGTGCTATACTGGACACACCTAGAAAAGAAATGAGCAGAGAAGCATGCGCTGAAATGAGAAATACAGGTATTGAGGACACACGGATGTAGGAGAAAAATCCTGAAACAAACGATGATGAAAGAAGCCAAAAGTAGTGGACTGGATTCAACAAATGATATCGAAGTGATTGCAACAGACAAAATATAATGGATGAGTTGACTCTACTCCATATGTGGCATGTATGGTACAACAGGGCAATAATTAAATGTTTAACCCCGCATGGACACTTAGAGCCTAAACTACAATTTGCAGTCACAGTCCGGTGTTAACAAAGACAAACTATAGTGTAATGCCAAAACAAAACGAAGCGAAGTACATTAACAAAATAGAAGTAGCGTAGTGCCAAGTCATAATCGAAGTAGCGAAGTGCATTAACAAAATAGAAGTAGCTTAGTGCCTAAACAAATTCTAACTAGCACAGTGCCTAAAAAAAATCAAAGTAGCGTAGTGCCTAAACAAATTCTAACTAGCACAGTGCCTAAAAAATCGAAGTAGCGTAGTGCCTAAACAAATTCTAACTAGCACAGAGCCTAAAAAATCGAAGTAGCGTAGTACCTAAACAAATTCTAACTAGCACAGTGCCTAAAAAATCGAAGTAGCGTAGCAACAAATTCTAACTAGCACAGTGCCTAAAAAAATCGAAGTAGCGTAGTGCCTAAACAAATTCTAACTAGCACAGTGCCTAAAAAAATCGAAGTAGCGTAGTGCCTAAAGAAATTCTTACTAGCACAGTGCCTAAAAAATCGAAGTAGCGTAGTGCCTAAACAAATGCTAACTAGCACAGTGCCTAAAAAAATCTAAGTAGCGTAGTGCCTAAACAAATTCTAACTAGCACAATGCCTAAACAAATCGAAGTAGCGTAGTGCTTAAACAAATTCTAACTAGCACAGTGCATAAAAAATCGAAGTAGCGTAGTGCCTAAACAAATTCTAACTAGCACAGTGCATAAAAAATCGAAGTAGCGTAGTGCCTAAACAAATTCTAACTATCACAGTGCATAAAAAATCGAAGTAGCGTAGTGCCTAAACAAATTCTAACTATCACAGTGCATAAAAAATCGAAGTAGCGTAGTGCCTAAACAAATTCTAACTAGCACAGTGCATAAAAAATCAAAGTAGCGTAGTGCCTAAACAAATTCTAACTATCACAGTGCCTAAAAAAATAGAAGTAGCGTAGTGTCAAGTCAGAATCGAAGTATCATGATGCCAAAACAAATGAAACATCGGGCTGTTACATAAAATAACTCTTGGCAAATACAGAACTTTACTAGCGTCACCTTCACCAACTTCTCTCTCATCCTGCTTCACCCTTTTCCCCATCTGCTTCAGCTAATTTCTCTTTAGATTGACAGCCTATAAACAGGCTGTAAATCACCACTTGTGAGATGAGATGCCTGAGAAAATTTACTAACCTAACCATCCGAGACAGAGAGAATAATGATACTACAAGACGGATTGTGGGAACGAAATCGACACAAGATTAATCGAGATACAGCTCATCAGCAAGTAGTTTGGCCATCTCGTTAAAATAAAATTAAAAATTAAAAAAAAATTAAACACTGTCTCATACACTATATCTCAGCAGATCACCCACAAGACCAAAGATCAAGAGGACTGCCAAGAAACTAATGGATCTTCAACTTTAAAAACACTTTATGCCTTCATGGTATGACAATAGCCAATGCCAACCAACATGTACTAGGCCGCATATGTGGTTCCTCCTTACGTCAGTTAACAGAAAAAAGTGATTTATGATGATGATGATGAAATATGTTGTAGGGTAGATTTCCAGTTGTATGAAAGCTATTCTTAACTACACTGTTACTGTTTTCAACTACAGAAGCGTCTTCAGGCCGACGTGCAGACAACATCTTCATTCTCCAAGTTTCCCTGAGTGATGTCGCGTCAGATATCATTTGGTTTTATCCTTTAACGCTTTCAGCTCCAGACTTGCGTTTCTTTATCTCCCCTTTACCAAGCAGCTGTGACTTAAAGTAATACGGGATTGTCTGAGAGCGAGCAAATGATAAAAGTTTGGGACAAAAGGAACATTAGTAACAACTGGGATAAAATGGGTTAGAGCAACTGCTGAATGAGATACGCGGAGTTGATAACAACAAAGCATGCTTGGCAGCTCCAGTAAAGGCATGATCAGTTGTATTGAAAGAGTTAATCTCTCCTGCAAATGAAATGTTCGATGAGCAGCACACACATATAACCCAAGAGGAGAGGCCACGTGCCTCCCCACTCCCTTCCCAAACCAGAATGACACCATATAATATGTTCTTCTTCTTATAGTCTATATCGTGTGGCGTTGGCAGTCATGTCTATCCACACCCTTCTGTCCTGAATACTTTCAATCATTCTAACATAGACGATCTTCTATGCCATGCGCACACACTAATACATACACACATACAGACATACATGCATGCATGCATGCATACATTCATAAATACATACATACACAGACACACACGCACGCACACACACACGTACATACATACATACACACACATACATACATACATACATACATACATACATACATACATACATACATACATACATACATACATACATACATACATACATACATACATACATACATACATACATACATACATACATACATACATACATACATACATACATACATACATACATACATACATACATACATACATACATACATACATACATACATACATACATACATACATACATACATACATACATACATACATACATACATACATACATACATACATACATACATACATACATACATACATACATACATACATACATACATACATACATACATACATACATACATACATACATACACATCCACATACATCCATACATACATACATACATACATCCATACATACATATACATACATACATACATACATACATACATACATACATACATACATACATACA